TTTTATGCCTTTATTTGATAGAACAGGGGGGACGACATGCAGCATAGGGCTGCAGGTTGGAATCAAACCTAGGCCGCTGTGGTAAGGTGCTCTACCAGGTGAGCTACCCTTTGATACCCAAATTCACTGATAAAAATTAACTACTATCCTTTATAAACTAGTTTTTGTTTTCTAAAATCAGCAATGAATTTCACTGTTGCTTGTGATCCCTGACCTTTATTTGGTTTGCTTGCAGTGGTGATCAACTAAGACTCTATTGATATGGTTGATGGGTTCTAGAGTCATCCATTTTAGCTTTGGTGATACTATTTAATATCCACAGTATATCCATAATAACTTGGGTCAATAAATATTGATTTTATGCAGAAGATAAAGGTGCATAGATTAATAAAGGCTTCATGTAAGGTTAGTGAGAGTCTCTACCTGTTGGTGACATCTCGGGGACAGTGGCACTGTAGGGACCGTCAGGAAACCGTGGCTCGTTGTCATTGATGTCCTGCACCTTGATGATGAACTCAGACTCTGGCTCCAGAGGGAGGCCTGTGTGCATGTCCACAGCCTGGGCCCTCAGTGTGTAGTAGGACTTTTCCTCCCTGGAAAACATCAAGTATTACATTCACATTCAAAGCACTAATGTTAATAATTGAGAGACTGTACATAGTCAGACTTTAAGATATCTGTTACGTGGTATTTAGGTGTCAGCTTGTGGTAATGCCAACACTGGGTGTTTATTATTTTCCACATACAGTAAAAGTAAGAATCTATAGGTGAGTTAAAGGCATCCAGGTTAAGGACACTGGGGGCTGTGATTAGATATCGTCATGGCAACACCTTCTTCTGCTACCTCAAACTCTCTCCAGATTCCTTGTGGTTGTTGATGACATTATTTACAATGAACTGCTTTACTGTGTGTTCACGATCTTGTAGTGTTAATCTCTAGTAGTGAATATTATTGTAAATCCTATATATCCTATAGAGTTGTTTCTGTACTTCTCTACTTTAGATCAGTAAAATAACATTGTTCCAACCTTGGCATACATAATACCAACTCAAAGCTTCTATTTAAAGAAGAAGAATATACAGCACAAAGTGCCTTACATGGCCAGCACCAAGATTTTACTATTACACCTATATTGTTGTAGTTATTGATGAGTACTGACCTGTCCAACCCCACCAGTGCGTGTATATCTCCTGTAATTTGATCAATGGTGAAGATAGACCCAGCTCCTTCTCCCGACAGAGTGTACTTGACTGCATTATCTCCGTGGTCCATGTCTGTATGGAGCTGCCGAAAAAAAAAAAGGCACAGAACATTCAATCATATGTGGCTTCAACTGCAGCAGCAATCAGTCACAATAAAACTTGATTTATTGCTGGGGTTGGTGTCATCAGTGATGGCGTGCAAACTAAAATGCAAAACAGTTGTTTACTAAAAGCTTATGTCACTTAAAAAAGGTTAAAAATGCACTAACAATATTCCCAACTTATGGTAATAGTGGAGACATGATGTATAACGAATTAAAAGTATGTACTTGAATAAACAAAGATTGGACGAAACCCTGACATATAAATCATATAATTAAATAATTTAAAAAAAAATAGTGATTTAAATAAGTCCAGAGGGATTATATGAATATGTAAATCATGGTGATTCTTACTATTTGTTATCTATAAGAAAGCTTCTTAAAACGTGGCAGAAGCTAAAAATTGATTAACTTAGGAAACTTCTCCAAAACACAGCAAAGGAGATTTTATATGAGAAGGGTTCTGAGAAAAAGAACTGGAGAGAACTTTTGCTTTCTTTAATGCCTTAATCCAGTTCACAAGTGGTAAAGAGTGCAAAAAGTTACATATTGTCACTCATTCATTCATTGACAGAGAACCATTTTAACTGTATACTTTTAAAACTTTAGGAGTAGTTGAAACTTCCAACTACTTGCACTGCACCGGTCTGCAACATTCTGAAGTCAGATTCCCCTAGACAAGACAGTGTATCGTCTGAACAGTAAAAACTCTCAGTACTTCCATTCTTAAGGTACGTCTTAACAGGATCCATCATCTCCACGCTTTCCATTCATTGTCTATGTGAGCAGCTGTGCAATGCGTTCTGGTAGTGCTGCAGTGCGTTTTGATAGATGGGGCGTCATGTTGCTCCTCATGAGCATAAAGAAGAGGTCTAGGCCTCTTTATGCAAATCAGGGGCATCTGGCACTGCAACTCGCCTCTGGAAATTTATGAAAAAACTAACCGGTTTTTAAAAACAGAAACACATTTCAGTGAACTATTTACATGAAAGAAAGTTTTCAAATGAGCCGCCATGTTGGTCCGTCCTGGAGAGTGGTCTCTTAATTTTTTCCAGAGCTCTATTACAGAACTATTACATTAGTTTCGTTGGGTTTTTTTTACCCTGCAGTATATATTTAAGCTAAGCTTGTTCAGGCCTGGTGGATTCTTGTAAATGCCATCAGGAGCACTAGGAGGAGCCAGAGGAACCAGATTGTTTTCTCTGATCATCTGTCATGTGTTACTGCCAGGATATAGTTCAAGATTCAACAAATAGGGAAAACGGTTATGTTCATAAAAGTTACTTACCTTAGCTTTAAGCTCCACATCCACAGGTTATAACACAGATGTGTCTACAAGCCTATGCTGGGGTAACCCTAATGACATCAATATAATATCATTATAGTAATTTTGGTCATGACTAGGAAACATGTAAAGTCAGTGTAGTGCCCCTTTAAGCCTGCTTGGTTCCTGGCTACGATGACTTAATGCCAGTTCCCCTGATTCACTGTGTGCACAATTATTAGGAAAGTTGTATTCCTGAGGAATAATTTTATTTTTGAACAAATACAGTGCTCTCAGTTAATTCAGAATGTTAATAAACCTCAAACCTGAGAATTAAACAAAAGGAAAAGTGAGTTTTGGCTTTCTCAGGAGAATATCTATGTGTGCACAATTATTAGGCAACTAAATGAAACTAAATGAAAAACTAAAATTTTCCCATCTCACTTGTTTATTTTCATTTATTAGAGTAGGAATAACAAATAAACAACTTGAAATTTACAAATAAACACTTTTGACATTTCAACAAATATTCAGTGACCAATATAGCCACCCTTCTTTTCAATAACTGTCATGAGCCTTCCAAATGATGTTCAAAGAGTTGTGTTGTCTTCCCTCACTGTAAATCTCACATTTAAGAAGGGTCCACAAGTTGTCAATAGGGTTTAGGTCAGGTGAGGAAGGGGGCCATGTCATTATTCTGTCATCTTTAAGGCCTTAGGATATAGGGTGTTGATCACTTAAGGCCACACCCTCCCTCATTACACAACTACACATCACCTGATAATGATTTAATCCAATTAGCATTCAAGTTTATATAGCTTGGAGTTGGAAAATATGCATGAAAATGACAATAAGGTCAAGACACTCACTTGCCTAATAATTGCGCATGCAGTGTATATTAAATCTGCACAGTGAAGATCTAATGACTCAGCTCAGATAAGCTATAGAACTTTGCTCTCCAATGGGAGGTATTAATAACATTATATACACTAATGATGATAGTAAATCAACAGGCTTTACAAGAAATTAAATTAAAAACACAAGTAAGTTTTCTTTGACATGTATGGTTGTCCTGTTTTCTCCTGCAAACAGAGTAGCCACTCTACCTTCTGTCTGCTGAATAACATTAAATACAATTACAAATACATTACGTTAGTTTGGTATGGGCTTCTGTCCAAAGCGATTCCTAATAAGTGCTTCCTTTCCCTTCACCACCTAACTCCATTCACTCCTTCTAAAGCGATGACTGAGAGATTATGGGTTTTTAACTTTGCCTCCTGTGTAAAATGAAAATTTTAGAGGTCATACTGAGGTGAGATTAGTAAAGGAATGTGTCTGAGGTTGAGAGTTTGAAAGAGTTCGACTTGAACTAACTCTCTTTCGGTCGTCAGATGACTATAAACAATACCATTTCTTGACTGTGCAATACAGTTTGTAGACTAAACAGTGCAATTATGGCCCGTTCTCATCCCATATCGATGTTTGGTGTCTGTGTCTACACACATGCACACAAGGTATCATTAAGCATCTAGACGCAGCAGGCTTTCATGTAAGTCCAATGTAACCCATCTGCACCATATGACATAGCGTAGAGAGACATAGTTTGTATAAGGCGGTTGAGGTGTATGGATGGGTGAAACACAGGACATTTGCTTAAGAGACCGAAGTTTGAGTCCCATTTGAAACCATAAGTCACTGATGACTTATTTAAAGTTTAAGTTTCATAACATAATGTAACTGTTGCCTAAACCTAACCAAACTGCAACATACCCATGTGTTAAAAAGGTACCCTAAATAGTACCTTGTGTGACTGTATGAGACACCGCGGGGCATGACAAAGCAGCATTGGTATTTGACGACCTGGGATGAGAACATGTTGGCAAGTGCTAGACCTGTGGTTCTCAACCATTTTCCTTAAAGGACCAGTGTGTATGATTAAGTGACATCTAGCGGTGAAGTTGCCGATTGCTGGTATCCATATTTTATGAGCTCGAAATGAGAACGAGCTTTGAGGTATATTCAGGTGATTATACACTAATGAAAACATACCTATGAATACTATATTCCATTTCCATACACTGAACCTTCTAAGGAATCCTTTTACTATTATTGAGTAAACTGACTAAGTGACATATTTTATGGTTATTTAATTTTATATTCAATGCATAAAATTAAAATTACAGAGCAATTGATAAACTGTAGAAAGAATCAAAATAGTGAGTATATTAACTGCAAGAAGTTTATGTGTAATTTTGGTGAATTTTGAGCAGATAATTTTTTGATCAGAGCATCAGAGATGCTTTTTTTGAACTTTAAATACAATTTTCTGTCCGTATTTTAAATATTAACAATCATACATACTTAATAGGCTTTTTGTTTTTGACAAATTCAATATTAATTTTTTTCCTCATTGTTCTATTTGTGCCGTGGTTGTTTGTCTAACTCAGGATACAGCTGTTTATCAGAGAGTGAATGCTCTGTGATATAGCTTGTGTTCAAGTTAAGATCCTAAAAAATCATCTAAACCTTATAAATATCAATTTAATTGATAGTCATACTGTGTAAAAAGTTTTCTTACATCCTTTATATCAAGAAGGCCTAGCAAGCCCCAGTGAAGCTCTCGCAAACCCTAGTGGGGGTCTGGACCCACAGGTTCGGGGACTAGACTAAACAACACAATTTCTAGACTGAACAACCATTTTCTTTACTCAACAATGCAAGTATTAGACCAAACAATACAAGACTAAATAGTCATTTCTGGACCAAATAACACCTTAACTAACCTTTATGATTTATGGACTGAACAATGTAATTTCCCGAGTAATTAACTATTAACATCCACCAGAAGCTGTAACTTGACCAAAATATGCATTTTCAAAGTGAGCTGTTGCAGTGAATTCATTGCACCAAAAGGGTTCTATTGATGTTAAAGTTAACAACTAACTGACCAAAACCCAGTGGGCTCCAAATACTGATGTGAAATAAGGACCTGAATATTGATGTAATTTAATGAAGATCCAGTGGAGATGAAATTTTATGTGAAAGTTAATAAGGAGCAGAGAGGAGGGCTAACTGCAGACATAACACACAATACGAGGAGCGGAACACCACACAGTGCTCTGTATGAGGTCAGCGCACTGAAGAACTGCTGTTAAATTAATTGCTTAATGTATATTTCAAATGAGAATGCATATGCCTGGTAAATGCAACGGTGGGATTTGAGGACATGGAATTTGTCATGTATAAGACGGTTTTAGCTGCAGTCAAGTCAGCATGAGATTTGTCCTGTGCAGGGATTCATAGGTCTGCTGGGGTCAGTTTCAACGAAGGCTTCTACTGTTATGGCTTGGGATTTATTGGAAAGATGGGTGAAGTTCCCCAGCAGTCAAAGAGCTTTAGAGAATATTGAAAATTGTTGCTTTTCCAGTATCCAGCCTCTGTTAAAACAGTGCAAGGGGCTACTGGGTCGGGTCCAGTTTGAGTAACAGATCTATAAATTGGAAGGCTTCCCAGTTGCAAAAACAGTGCATAGCGAAACTCCAAGACAGGATTTTACAACTCTGGAAAGAAAATTCAGCAGAGCCTGAGCAACAACCACAAATAATAATTTTTCTGCCAAAAGAATAGCATTTTTGGCAACCTGAATATGCTCTGAAAGTCATGAAACGTGACACTCGTGTCAGTGGTGGCATACATGTATGTGTCATATGGTTCTCG